AATTGTGTTCTCTTTGTGGTCCTCAATTCTCGTTTTCTTTGTGAGGAAATGTAGTTGCTTGTTACATTTTTTTTTAATTATGTTTCAGTTGTGGGCGGCTGTGTCTCGGAGACAGGGCAGGTTGTCCATTATTTGGAAGGTTGTTCCATCCATCCATTGTATGAGCTGATATTGTAGAGAAAACATGTTGTGAAAAATATGTAGTCAGTGAACATTTTACTGATCTGTTCAGTATCAGCATTTTGCTACTTGGCAGAGACGTTAAGATTTCCTCATGATGAGTACTTTAAAGAGTGCAATGTTAGGGACTAATGTGGTTGAGTGGCAGTGGAAGGAGTCACTAGAGTGTAGCAGAGAGGTTGAATGATGGTGTAATGAATGAATGTAGGAAGTGGGGACAGTTGAGGGGAAATGGGTCAGACGAGAATGTGATTAAAATGTTCTTTACTTCCTAAAACTTTAAGTGACCAATAATACACAATGCAGTAGGTGGAGCCTGAGGTCCTCAGACAGCTGAGGCTGATGAGCAAATTTAGATTTTAGTTTTGTAGGTTTTTTACTTAACCGGCCTCAAAGTAAGTGAAATTTTATTTATATAGCACCTTTTTGACACAGAGATCCAAAGTGCTTTCCAAACAACAAATACATTAACATAACAACACACAAAAACACAAACAATGAGCATATAAAAACAAAACAAGATAAAACCAGAGGGAAGGATAAATTAAAAGAGACACGACAGATGAGTAAACAAACAAGGAGATCTATAAAAAGGCTTGTAGAGGATTAAAACAGTCCACAGATTCAGTGAATCTCAGTGAATGGGGAAGACTGTTCCACAATGTCGGGGCTAAAACAGCAAAGGTCACCTTTAGATTTACAGGTAGAGAGGGGAACGGATAAAAGGCAGAGATTTGAGGAGCGGAGTGGCCGAGGAGTGGAATGAGGAACAAGAGATCTGAAATGTAACTGGGGGTCATGAAGTGCCTTATATGTAATCAGTAAGATCTTATAGTTGATTCTGAATTTTACAGGAAGCCAATGAAGGGATGCAAGAACAAGAGTAATGTTGGACCCACGGCTGGTTCTGGTTAAAAGTGGCGGCTGCATTTTGGACTAACTGCAATCGGTTTAACGAAGCCTGACTGAGGCACGTGTAGAGTTACAGTAATCTAGACAGGAGAAATGAAGCTGTGAATTAATAGTTCAAGATCACTGGAGGACAGGAATCTTTTGATTTTATTTCGTAGCTGCAGGAAATAGGACTGGACAAGTTTTGTGACATGAAGGTCAAATGTCATATACTGGTTGAAGATGATACAGAGATTCTTAGCAGTGGGTTTGATATTAGTGCATAGTGCTGCAATAAACTGATCAGTTTCTGGTGTATATGTATCTACATGTTGTGTTCCTGGTTTGTATGAGCCATCTAGTTTGTCTTGTTTTTCTTTCTTGTGTGTCTGTCAGTAGTTTGTAACTGTTGTTCTGTGTGATTGTGATGACCCCTCCCACTCTGGTTGTTCTGTGTATTTTTCCCTTTGTTCCTGGCAGGAGACTGATATTTTTATACTTTGTTTAGAGTGAATATTGGTTCAATAAATGTATTTTGTCTTAAACACTTTAATTATTTGTGTGCTCTCCTTTGTTTTGTATGAACTGTGAGCAGGTTCATGACAGTCATATAAACATATACGGTACAATTTGTTATATCAATTATAGAATGAAGACAACCACTCTAAGCAAAGGTAAACCTTGTATAATATCACTATATAAACTATTTTAAAAAACCAAATACAGTGTTGAAAACTATTTAAAATAAATAAAGTGACACATTGTACAATGCAGGATTTATGTAAAAAGTGAAGATTTTAAAAAGATTCATCTTTTAATAATGAAACAACAACTGTTGCATAACATATTGCACATAGTGTATACTGTATATACGGAATATACCGATCCACCATAACATCCACCTGGGCTCCCTGACTGGTCCCAGACCAACAGACTGCTCTGCACTGTGTGTTCTGACCCCTTTCTATCAGAACCAGCATTAACTGTTTCAGCAGTTTGAGCTACAGTAGCTCATCTGTTGGAACGGATCTTTAACTATCTATAACTACCATATAACTCATGACTGTACATTATTATAACTATTATATAACTATCATATTAACTCTTGTAGTGAATATTGTTCACAGTTGTTGATTTAATGGTCCTATTTCAGGTGGTAGTTGATGTATAATTTTATAATCCAACAAGGCTTTACAGAGAAATGTAATGACTGTGACTACAGGGATGATACATATGTTGAAACATATCTTACTTACTATTATCTATCTGCTCTTTGGGATGTTCTATTTTACGGGATTACATCCTCTCCAGAGCTAAATACAACCAACAGGATGTAAACAACAAGCCTTTTTTTGACATTGTTGGTTTGCGTTGGTAAACCACGATGCTCAAATTTAGTTGACTAAAATGATTGCGTCATTCTAAACTAACACAAGATGAGTGTGTTGCTGCTGGTGCTTGCAGGGTAACAATGATAGGACCCAAGTGCAGTGCTGACTGGTGGAGTACAGTGGTTTATTGCAGCAGAGACAGTTTATACAGGCTTACAGAGTCAGTAGGACTGGGTATCGTTCAAAATGATACTACTGATACTGATACCTTCACGTCAATACCGGTTCCTGACACAAATTTTATAATAATTTTTTATCAAAAAGAAAATACATTATACATTAGAGTAAAATTACTCACTTCAATGGAGGAAGCTGTTTAAAGACCTGTGAGCGGCGGGAGAAACTGTTTTTACTCACTTAACTCAAGCTGGATAACTATATTAATATTAATAACAAACAGTATGGCAACAACACGTCGAGTCTAATACAAAGAAGGAGAAGAGAACGACTGTCTGGGGAATGTTTGTGGTACTAGGAAAAGACAGAGTGAGACCTGTTTATTGGCCATACCGATGAGGTTTTACTCTGTTGGTGTCCTTGATTGATGCAATGCTGTTGGTGCCATAAAAATAGAGTTCGGTACCCAGTCCTTATAATGAGACAACTAGTGTCAACACTAGATAGTCCGTCCAAACAGGGAGTCAAATCCAGAGGATTTGTCACTATTCATAACATAAATAATAATAGGAATAACACTTATAATCAGTAATTCCTTCAGAAAAACATGAATATAGACAGAAGCATTAAAATATGCATAAACTTCTGGATGATTATTCTGGATGACTAAGGACCCAGAATCTAAATATCTTGATGTAATTCCTGAAGTCTGAGCTGGATTTCATTGTCACAAATGATTGATCTATATCTTGGCCAAACGTTTAGTAAATGTAATGACTTCCTGCTCAGGCCGATGTTTCCTCATTGCTACTTTGGTTTGTTGACTGTTGAGTAGAGCGGATCCTCTGGAGATCTGGATGGTTCACTGACAGTAGAGTAGGTTGGACTTTGGCTGTTCTGCACAATGGAGTATTCACAGGCAGAGGAGCTGGGTTTGAGGATCACTGCCTCACCACCAGCTTTATCAGAGCTAAAGTTGATGGTAGAGTAATGCAGTGAGGCAGAGGGGTTTGTGGGAAAGTTGGCAGTGGCATAAATTGTGGTCACTGCATTTCCTGAGTCTGGCTTCTGGACGTAGACCTGTACCTCCTCGTAGACATAATCCTTCCAGGAAAGAATGAAAAACACAGTGTGAACTAGGGCTGGGCGATAAATCGATTTTAGCGATTAATTCGAATTCGTAGTGAAACACGATTTATTCTTGGTTAAAATCGGTTTTCTCTTAAACTTCCACAACACCGGCGCTCCCTTTGGGCTCCCGTAGGTCAGAGTGCGCTGACCCCTCCCCCCGCCTCTCCACAGATACACACAACATGGCAGCAAGCCAGGATGAGCTCGTCCCCCAAAAAGGCACAGTGTTGTCGGTTGTTTGGAACTGGTTTGGTTTTGTGGCGTTCGACAGCGAACAAACCACGACCCACTGCAAAGTTTGTTTGAAAGCTGTTGCAACCAAAGGGTAGCAGTACAACCAATTTATTCCAGCACCTCAAGCAGAGGCATGCAGCCGAGTGGGAGAAATGTTGCTCTCTGCGAGATATACAGGACTGCAACCCACAAACACCCGCTAAAAAACAGTCTACATTAGTGGATTCATTTTCACATTGTGTCCCGTATAATAAGAAAGGGACCCGGTTGAAAGCTATTACTGATGCAGTCGTGTTGCATATTGCTAAAGATATGGTTCCCATTTTGGGTTAATCCCAAAAGGGAAATTCAAAACAAAATAAAAGCAAAACTTGTTTTGAATAATTTCTTTGTCATTTGTAGTGTGTTTTTAAGGACAAAAATCGATTCAAATCGTAAATCGGGATTTTATTTTTAAGCCATATAGCCCAGCCCTTGTGTGAACAAATCATATACAGCCATAACATTAAGCACAATTGATACAAATTGTGGTTAACATTGTAGGTTAAATTAGAAACAGGGTAAAGGGCCAGTGTGTAACATTTAGGAGGATCTATGGATTTAATATCCATAACTATGTCTTCATTATAACAGGATCACCATTGCTGGCTAATACTGAAACTGTTTATGTAACATACGTAATTCTAACTTTTGCTCAGTTTCTCCAGCAATATGAATATTATCATATAACAGTTATACATTTATACACTGACCTCTCTGGTGTGCTCTGCTGCTCCATTTCTTCTGTGTTTTGAATGTGAACATCCTGACAGAAAGACATGGAAGAGAATAAAAAACAGTTGCACTTGTTGATGGTTTTGTATTTTCCAGTTTGGTTTCATTGAGTAGGATTTAACAGCCACTGTGTATCCCAATATTTATAGACATAAACCAACTTCCAGACTTAAAGAAAGTCATGTTCAGTCACTACTAACGTCATATAGTATATCTGCTTTGGCTGTTTTTAGACATCACAACTGTACAAGATGGAGATGTCGTGAATGTGGTTTCTTACGTTTGTAGATAAGAATCAAAATGATCACAAACAGCAGCAGCAGCAGTACAGCAACACAAACAACCAAAGTAATGACGACCTGAGAGCCACCTGCAACACAAAGCACACAACAAAGAATAAATCCAGATCTGTTTCGCCAAGTGCTTGCTCATGGTGGTACTGTTGGGTCTCTGTAAATGTTATAAGGAGTTCGGTCTAGACCTGCTCCATTTGAAAAGTGTCCTGAGATAACTTCTGTTATGAATTGGCTCTATTGAATTGAATTGTTTAAAAAGCAGTCAACAAGTGTCTGAGTTGAGGAGTTTAAAGGCCAATTTAAAGGCCTTATCTAGAGCCAGTGTTTGAATTGTACAAATGTAAACATGAACATCCTCCTTCTCTTGCTCTTCTGCAGCAGAAGGTTTAAGATATCAAACGTGCTCTCTTACCATCTCTTTCAGCAGATGCAGATGTCGATGTTGGTGTTTTTACTGAAATCAGACAAAAGTTAACATTGTCTCATCATTGATAGAAAATGAAAAATACATTTTGACAAAACCTGGAAAACAAAAACAGAAAGAGAAGCATCAAACTTGGAACAAACTTGGATTCTACACAACAGTCTTTTCCTTTTGTTTCCTTTGCTCCTTGGCAACAATAAGTTTGATCGGACTGACTTTAATTTAGCTGCTTCAGTTTCAGGATATTGATTGTGCATGCTGGCTCACTGTTGTGGTTTACTGGGACGACACATTAAGACTACAGGCCAAAGTGGCCCAAATCAGGTTTTCTCTTTTCTCTGTGAGTCAGATTTATTTTTATATATATTTACACTTTGGAATCAAATCTTTTCAATTCTGATTCAGGCCAATTTTATATGTGGTCCCAATCAGATCCAGTTGTGGTGTCTTTGTACTGTGACCTCAGTGTGAACAGTCCTATCAGAATTTCTGTAACTTTTATATCGCTCTATATTGGCATTCATCATGCGGGTCACTTTAGGACCCTGACCTGTTTACACTGGAATCTGATCTAGGCCACATTTAAAAAGTAATGTGAACTGCCAAACAAAAAAATAAACTCAGATCTGAGCATCTAAATCCTAATCAAGTACTTAGGCTCGCAGTGTGAACGAAGCCTTTGAGACATTGTTAAATCAGAATCAGAATCAGAAATACTTTAATAATCCCAGGGGGAAATTATTTAAATTAATTATTTAACAGTATTAATAACTCCTGTACATTTCCAAAGTTAAAATGCTGTGAAAAACGTTGAGTGTGTAACATTTTAATGGATTAGATTAGTTTATCTTAGCAAAAATCTCACTAATTGACATTTTTATATTGTGTTTAATCTGTACAAACACCTCTGTGTAAAAAGCATTAATAGTGAATTATAAAATAAATACATTACATCTGTTTTCCTACTAAAATGAGTAGGAACTTGATCAACTTTTAAAGGTTTTTATTGTTGCCTTCCTGCTGTCACATCACTGCAGTGTCGCTCTGAAGGGAAGTGCAGGAAATGAACATAAGAGCATTAACAGCAACCAAACCACAGGTTGTCTGAGTCAGTCAGTATCAGCTCTTGTCAGGAGCTGGAAGTTAAAGTCCCCATTTAGTTAATGTTAATATCTTACACTGTGCATCACCTATACGCCATTATCTGTCCCAACAATGACAAAAAGACAGTTTTTAGGTATTCTGCTGCTTCTTGGGAACTTTAACAGACCAGTGTTGAGGATTTAGTGGCATCTAGCAGTGACGTTGCAGATTGCAGTCAACTGAATACTGCTGACCCGACAAGAATGTAGTGGAAACTATAGTTTCTGCAGATGTTTGGTTTGCCTGTACTGGACTGCTGGAGAAACATGATGGACCCACTCCCTCTGTAGATAAAAACAGCTCATTCTAAGGTAACTAAAACACAATCCTTCCTATATTCTGGTATAACGAAGGATAATAGTGTTATTAACTTTATGTTTTAATTTGAGTAAACATTGTCAGAATAGCAAATGAAAACGTGTGTGTATAAGCACAATACACATTTTCTCTCCCCCACCCTCACTCTGAATGTCAAACCACTTCCTTTATTGTTTTCCTCCTCTGTAACTGTAGCTTTTAATGGTTCAGAAACATTCAGTATCTGAAGGGTTCATTTCTTCTTCTGCTAGGACTCATTTTGGGAGAGTCAGTATATTGTATATTTATTAAAGTAATTTCATAAGATAAAATATTTAAGTCCAGTTGTAATGAATAATGACTGTAGATTTCTTTTACTGACCCTCCTACAATCATAACCAGGGTCAGATTACATCCACACAATAAAAAACAAGACTCACCTACAGTCATCAAGAATCTGTGGAAGAATGTGCGTCTTGTGTCAGTGCTTTCTGCTCCACACCAGTATGTCCCACTGTCGTCTGCTGTTACTTCTCTCACTGTTATGGTGATATTTCTCTTCTTCTCTTTGTCTTCCTTCATGGAAAAACTTGTGTTCATGTTGCGCTGTACAGTGTTTACTAGAGGTTGACATATAGATGGATCTTCTCCCTTACAGATGAATTTCTTTATTGGAGCACCATTTGGATATGCACACCAGTATGTAAAATTCTGTCCAATAGTTAGAGACCTTGTGAAGTTTTTAATATCTGTAGACAGACAGGATTGACTGTATTTAACAACATATTTCAGAGAGACCTCAGTTATATGTGTGAGTGAATCAAACCTAGAAGTGTCAGATGTGTGCTGCTCACCTTCAACCTTCAGTTGGATTTTTCTGAGTCCAGTTCGGTAATTTCCTTCTTTCACTCCACACCAGTAGAGACCAGCATCATGTGAGGACACATTACTGATGGACACACTGAATCCACTGTTGGTTTCTGTGAGAGTGAATGTCCCGTTTGACTTTACAGAAAAGTTTGTTGATAAAATCTCCTCACAAGTGAAATTATTCTCTCTGCAGAGAAACTTGACACTGGACCTTTGTTTGTTTTCTGGATAATCACATGTGATGGTGGTTTTAGCTGTTCTGTACGCAGTTTGGTTAAATTGTTCCTTGCAGCCATCTTTCTCTGCAAATAAATAACAAAAGTAAAAAATTTATATAAGTACATTTTATTTCTATAGTACTTGAAGTATATGCCTTTTAGAATGTATTTCACTGGTCCACAGAAAATATATAAAACATAAATTACAGCAAGAATTTAAGAAAGTGGCCAAACAGAGAAAAAAAATGTAATAATCATAATAAATTATAAAACCACTGGAGTAGAAATTATTAAAACCTTAAACTTATTAAAACGCCACTTATCTAACATATCAGTTTGTTAAAGACTTTAAAATGATAGTGACTCTAAAGACTGTGGATTTATGTGTAAGCTCAGGAATAAATGTCACTATATTCATAATGTCACCCAATTTATCTGATATCTGAGGCCTTTTAGGATTAAATCTGTTATCAACAATCATTGGCTCCATGTGCCTCAAAAACATTTGAGTCATTACATGTGCAAATAATGTAAAATTTTATGTTGTGTTTTTTTTGTGTGAAAACATTTTGACCAAGTTTCAATTTTGAGTTCATTAAAAACACATTAAAGGTGAGTGTCTCTTACCAACTTCCACTTTAAATTTCTCTCTGTCTTTCATTCTGTCTTTGTCTTTCTCTTTACATTGGTATTCCCCAAAATCCTTGGTTTGAAGTTGTCTGATGGCCACTCTGAGTTCTTCATTTTGTGTATCATGGTACAGGGAAACGCTGTCTTTGGTTTCCCACACATTCTTTTTAGTAGCTTGTATGAATGTTCCTCTTCGACTAACTACACCAATATTCTTATAATTTCCAGTTGTTTTGGGATATTTGCAGGTGAATTCAACCCATCCTCCTCGGCATCCCTTCACTTCAGACCTGAGCTCACAACCTGTAGATCAGACAAAGACTAAAGTTCACATGATGTCAGATACTGAGACAATCCCAGAGCTACTGCAGCAGTCTAAACTAGTATCAACTGTGTTTTAGTCATTTGAAGAATTTTTATCATCTTTTAGCTTAACTTAACTGTTTTGGTTCACTCACTGCTCTCATCCATACACTGCACATTAAGATGGAAGATGCGTCTCCACTAGCTGGTGAACGTAGTGGAGCATTTAGCAGCTACAGAGCCAGATATTTCCCTCACGAGTTGGTGGAGACCAAACACAGAGCTCAATGAATGCTGTTTGCTAACCAGTTTGCTTTGTCAACTTTAAAGGTGATAATAAGTTTGTTGGATTCATTGCTTACAGATTTGAAGATGTTGCTGCTTTGTTTAAAAGCCAACAGTTAGGGGATTCAGCTGGAACACATTCAGATGTAAATATTAATGATAGGCAGCAGTTTTAAGCTGCACAGCGTCAGACCTTTCAGTGGGGATGTGTGGTCTATTATATCTGACATCTCTCATGATTAAGTAGTAATAATACAGTAAATGGTTCTTCGATAGGCTGAGAATGAGTCATATCTAGGCTGTCAAGATTGCTCATACTGACGTTCAATTATGTGTTCTAATAAAACACATAGGTCCAAACTATATTTGAATATCTAATCTCATTCATTATTCCTTAAACCAGTACATAACATAACTATGCCGTCTAAAGGATGTGACCTCTCTGACGTGCTGCAGTCAGCGTATCATCTCCGGTTGTCAGTGTTTGTGGTTGCTGGTAGCATGTCTGCTGCTCCAGCTCCACCCAGATAAATCAGTTATATTCTTCATTATAGCAGCTAATTACAGCTGCTATACATTTAAACTTACACTAGTTCAAGCACTCATAGCTCTCTCCTTTTAACAATGTTGTCACTAATCCCACAGCTCTTTACACACTATTCAGTTCTGCTCGTTACAGTACTTTAGCTCAGCAGTTAGAGAATGGTTCTCTCTCTTTCCTGCTCTCTGTTGCTCAGTGTGTCAGTGTCAGTTATTCCTCTGCCTCTTTTAGTGATAATGGTTCCTGTAATAAATGTAGTTTATTTTCTATTTTCAAACGGGACTTTTTTAAATTGCTCAGAGTGCTCTCTCAATTATTCACTGGTTTGACCTTCAATTCATTGTCTGTTATGCCGATAGCCACGGTGGTGCTGCTGTTTTCACACAATTTTCACAATCAAATCTGTTTTAAAATTATATTATTTAATCAAATCCGGAATATTTATCCAAGACCATACAAACAGTCTGATAGCTTCATATTTACATGGATTACCACAGTGCTGCAGAATATTGCTGCAACAATTCTTGCACCTGTTTCTCCGTTTTGAACATACAGGCAGTTTTTTTCTTTCACTTCTGCTCGTTTTCTCTCTACTTTAAAGAGTAGCTGCCACAATAAGTGTAAGTACTGTGTTGAAGTTCAGTATTAACAACTCGTGTTAAAATGTTATTTAGTTG